AAATTATTCTAAGCTGAAAAAAAATAAAAGGAATAGCCAGCCTAGTTGTAGGGAATGAAGCCAGGACAAAGGAGAATAAATGTTTGTTATTTGAATTGAAATATCAATCCCAGATGTGGAGCAATTGTAACTTTTACCCACTGCTGGTAAAATGTAAAATGGTACAACCACATAGGACAGTTGAGCAAAATCAACTCAAGCCAAACATATACCTATTCTGTTGTTGTTAAGGGACATCGAGTCAGTTTCAACTCATAGCAACTCTGTATGGGGTTTCCAAGGAGAAGATGGGTGGCTTTGAACTGCCAACCTTGTAGTTAGCTGTCCAGTACTTATCCTACAGTGTCACACCAGGATGCCACTCTGGTGGTGGTTATGTGCCGTGGAGTCGGTTCTGATTCATAGAGACCCTGTACAGGGTTTCCAAAGCTGTAAATCTTTAAGGGAACAGAATGCCTCATCTTTCTCCTGCGGAACAGCTGGTAGTTTCGAACTGCTGTCCCTGAGGTTCACAGCCCAATTTGTAATCACTACACTACCAGAGCTCCTTAGGATGCCACTCTATGACCTAGGAATTCCACCCAGGCGTATGTCTAAGAGAAATGAATACAAATGACCACCATAGGTCACGTTAAGAATGTGGTCCACCTTACTAGTCCACCTTACTGGTCCCTTCTGCCAATATGTCTGAAGTATAAGAGATGAAATCTGGCCATCCTGGCTTCCAAGGAGCACTCTAGCTGTACTTCTAACAACACAGATTGGTTTGTTCTTTTGGCAGCCATATTCATAATTGTCTCAACTGACCACAAGGGCCTCAAAGTCATCAGCAGAAGAATGGAGAGACTGATTGTGGGGTATTCATGGAATGGAATTCCAGGAAACAATAGAAAAGAGGAGATCACTTGTTCACCCAACAGTGTGGATGAGTCCTTCAGACGTGTTGCGTGAAAGAAACCAAACACAAAAAAATATATTCACACTGTATGGTTCCATTTATATGATGTTCAAGAACAGGTAATACGCATATATGGTTGTTGTTTCGTGCCTTCAAGTCGGTTTTGATTCACAGAGACCCTGTATAGGGTTTCTGAGGCATTACATCTTTGTAGGAGCAGAAAACTTCATTTTTCTTCCACGGAGCTGATAGCAAGCTTGAACTGCCGCCCTTGTGGTAGAAGTCATAATAGTGATGAATTGTAGGTGAGGGGTGGTGGCAGGGAGCAGGCATACGAGAGCTTCCAAGCTGCTGGAAATGTCCTTGATCTTGATCTTGTAGCTATCCAGGTGTGATGATGGTATTCGTGAACCATCATTGGTTCCATGTCATAGCAATCCTGTATAGGTAGGGTTTCTGAGGTTGTAAACCTTTATGGGAACAGAAAGTCATCTTTCTCCCAAGGAACTGCTAGTAGATTTGAACTGCTGACCTTGCAGTTAGCAGCCCAACTCATAACCCACTATGATACTAAGGCTCCTTCACACATGTAAAAAGTCATTGAGCTGAACACTGGATGAAAGTTTTTACTGTGTACGCTATGGCGCTGTATGAAAGGCACTAGACTGTTATCTACAAGGTAAATGACTGGAGCCCACCAGCCGCTCTGCAGGAGAATGAGGAGACTTTCTGCTCTTGTAATGATTACAGCCTCAGAACCCCCATACAGGATGGCTATGAGTCGGAACTGACTCAATAGCACTTAACAACAACAACATGTTGTATTTTAATCACAAAAGAAAAATGAATGGAAACTGAAAAAAACAGTAAGCATCACCTCTAGCAGCCTTGTAGGGCTTTCTGGGGCTCAAAGAGGTAAGACTGGCCAAAGGCATACAACAGCCAAGGGGCAAGGGTAAAGTCTCTCAGATCTCTCCCTCCCCACAACTCTCAGCAGCTTCTGTGTCCCCTGGGGGTCTCTCCTGGCCTCCCTGGCTGGGAGCTATGAGGTCAGGGCCCAGGAACGAACGTTCCTGCAGCCACAAGGCGGGAGTTGGTGACTGAGGTCCTTGGAATGTGCTGCTTCTGTAAGGACCTCCTGGTAGCTCAACCAACCGTTAGAGCAGGAAGGGACTTTTCAATCATGTAGTCACACACACACACACACACACACACACACACACATTCCTTATTGAAATAAAGACTTGGAAACTGAAACCCACAGGTACAAGAGACTTGCCCCAAGTCAGGAGGAAAGGGCTGAACCACTGTTTCCTTAGCTACCCAGGCTGCTTGGGGAAAATGCAGGGATGGTCTTTTGGGGCAGGAGGTGGGATACAGTCAAGCTGATCTATGTCAGGCATGGAATGTGCCACCACCTGGCCACCCGTGTCATCCCGTTCTGTCCAACTTCAGTTCAGCCAAGGATATCAGCTATTTGTGTGTATATGTGGGCTTGCATGTACTCACATGTGTGCTCCATGCCTTCTTATGTCAGAGTTCCAAGGATGACTACCCCTAAGGCTTTTAATTAACATGCATGTTTATTTTTTATACTATTGCTCAAAGACATCCTGTTGGCACAATGGTTAAGTGCTAAACAAAAGTTGGCCGTTCAAACCCACCAGTGGCTCCACAGGGCAAGTCCTGGTGATCTGCTCCTTTCAAGATTTACAGCCAAGGAAACCCTCTGAGGTTTTTTCTTCTGCATCACATGGAACCACTATGAGTCAGAATTGACCCAATGGTACCCAACAACAACTGTTTTCAACTTCTTGCTCTGTGCCTGGTGCTGTGCTAAGCAAGTGACATTATTTTACTTCGGTCCCCTAACAACCCTGAGAAGTAATTATCATGGATCTCTCCATTTTTCAGAAGAAAGAGAAGCTCTGACTGTGTGCCTCTGTGTCACATAGCCGGTGAGCACCCCGGCAGCATCCAACCCAGGATCCAGAACTTTCTGATTCCATGGTTCACACTGCTGCAAAATCTCTCTCTCTCTCTTACACACATCTATGATTTTCATTCTGATCAACTGCTGTGATTTCTCTTCAGAGGAAGCCAAGCCTTGAGTAGAACAAGGGCGCTGGGAGAGGTGGCAACTGACCACCACCTCCCCCACCGCCCCCCAGGACAAATACTTTCACATCTGTAATCTCATGTGATCCATACAATAGCCCCATGAGGTCAGCGGGAGGCCCAATTATTGCCATTGGAACAGACTCAGAGGGGAGGTGACACTGACAGAAAATGACCCCTCTAAGACTGGAACCCCAAAGTCAAGCTGGCCTTCTAGCTCTAAGCCCTGAGCCAGCCCACAGACCCCTGGCCTCTGTTTTCCAGGAAATCAGCCCAAGACCCTGCTTCTTTGGAGCTCGCCTTCCCCCCAGGCAACATTGGAACTGAGCAAATGGAGGTCCCAATGGAAAAGGAGGCGTGCCCAGCCTTCATTCTGTCTTCCTTTTCTGGTATTCCTTACTCTGTATGTCCCTTCTGTACCCCAAGGGGGCCTCATGGTCCCTGCCATGACCCTTTCAGGGGCCCCATTATGGATTTCCCAGTCTTCTTTCTATTGTGTGTGTGACTCTGGCAGCTCCTTATTCTCTGGGGGCCTCAGTTTCCTCATCTATAAAATGGGAAGGTCAGAGAAGCTTTTGGACAACCCTCTCAGCACTGACATTCTACATGTGTGAAAGGACGTCTGGGAAGTTGTGAGGGCTTCCGAAACCTCTTCATTGAGTCTATGCTTGAAGCTCCTACAGCCCTGGTTTGGGAATCTGACCAACCTTTTCCAGCCTCCAGTTTCCCCATCTGCAAAATGGGTTGATGGTGTTTCCTACTCCCCAGGGTTGTTGGTCTTTGTTGACATTTGACCCTGACCTCAGGTTCACACAAAACTTTGACATAATCTCCAAACAATGCTGGTGACGACACTGTCCCAGAGTATCACTGACCGTGTTTAAAGATGAAGACATTCATCAGACAGCTGGCCATTCATGTCCCAGTGCAGAATTCCACCACCTAACAAACCAAACCATTGCCATAGCCTGATTCTGAGTCATGGAGACCCCATGGGTTACAGCATGTAGAATCTGATCCAGAGGGCTTTCTTGGAAGTAATATTTATTAACAGATCACCCGGTCTTTTTTCTGCAGTGACACTGAGAGGGTTTGAAATGCCAATCTCTAAAGGAGCGCCAAACTGTTTGCACCACCCGGGGACCTTAAAACTTGTTTGAGCTCCTGAAACTTCCAGTTACCAGCACAATAATATTATATTGTATTTCTGGGTTGTTCAAAGCATTACTTCGTTCTTTGTAAACATTTAAAATAGACCACCCCGTTTGTAACTCTAGTTTGTCATTTATACATTCTGTTCAGTATCCCTGAAGCCTTAAACCAATACCGTGAAGCCGTAGGTGGCACTTACCTCGGTTCTCGACATGAGATAAACACCTAGTAAATACTAATAATATAAATAATCCACCACATTTATAATCCAATTTACAGCTTCCAAACTGCTTTCCCATTCATCATTCCACCCTCCCACGTGCGGACAGGTAGTGCTGTCAAGGCTGCCCCATTTTACGGCTGCAGAGACCGACAGGGATGCGTACGAGCTCCCGCTCCCTGGATCCGGCGCCTGGGCCCCTGGGCTCCTGAGCAGTGAACCGAGCGACGGGCGGCGGGGCGGGGCGGGACGGCTACAGGTGCGTCAGGCTCGGGGAACCCTCGACTCCACCTGGGCGCGCCTAGGAAATTGCACCATGTATGGGCAACTGCGTCAGAGGGCGGAGCCCAGCCAGTAGCTCAGGGGGCCACGAGTCCGCCCCTTCCCCGAGCAGAGGGGTCACCGGACCGCAGGAGGCGTCGCAAAGCTAGCGCGGACGGCAAAGACGGCGGGTCGAAAGAGGGGAGCCCAGGGCATTCGCCGCCGCACACCCCCTCGTGGTCCCAGTGGTTCAGTCCGAGAGCATTCATTCATAAAAAGTAAAGACTCCGCGTGGAGCCGGTGAGTCAGGACCGAGCCGCCGCGGGCCCGCGAGCAGCAGCAGTCCAGGGCATGTTCCGAGACTTTGGGGAACCCGGACCTAGCGCCGGGCCGAGCGGCGCGTACGGCGGCCCAGCGCACAATCCCAGCGCGGTGCAAGCGGCAGTCCAGCAGGTGAGACGGAGCGGATTGCTCCTGGGACTCAGAGGTCCGCTTCGGGACCGGCCGGGGACCTAAGAGGAGTCAGGGTCTGGGGCCGAAGAGAGGCCAGAGCCGGGAGCCAAGGACTGGATCGGGAGCCAAGGACTGGCTGGGGACTGCATCTACAACCCTGTCCATTAATCTCCGTCCAGGGGCCAAGTTCCCTCCACGGACCAGGGGGATACGTGGGACCACAGCTTGCGGACGCCGCTCCTTGCCCGTCCCCTTCCCTGCGCTGAGACGCCCTTATCTGTTTCCCCTTCTTTCCTTCCGTCTGCCTACCGCTAGTTTTTTTTGTCCCAACCTGCCTCTGGCAGAAACCAGGGGCACCTGGATTAGCCATAGGCATTGCCAGGCTTAGAAAGGGCTCTCCATCTCGGGTTAGATGCCTGACTCCAGAGTTTGGGCTGTGGCAGAGACATGCTAACACTGGAGGGAGAGGCGGGCTCAGTCAATATAGCGCTGCCAGGGACTGCTTCTGTCGGTGGTCTGTCCTTCCCTGTGACTGTTTCTGTCGGTGGTCTGCCCCCCTCCCCCTCTTCACTGAACCTTCCCCCTTCACCCTGGCTGCCTGGGACAACGTAGAACATGGTGGTCTCTAGAGATCAGCTCCCGATCCCTTTCCCAGATAAGGTCACTGAAGCGTTAGAGGTCCCAAGGCGTCACGCAGCGGACACGCTAAGCGCTTGGCCCGCAACGGCGCCCACTGCCGGCTGAGGGTACCCGGGAGGCTGCAGGTGCCCATTTCCTGTCAAGGGGCCTCGAGCACGTGTTGTCAGGGGTGGGAAGGAGCGGGCGTCCGTTCCGCCGAGTCACGGTGGCCGAGTCACGGCGGCTGAGTCACTCGAGGCGCCCCTCCCTTCCTGGCCCGGAGCGCCTGGGCCCGGACAGTCTCTGGAACGGAGATGCTGCCGCCAGCGGTGCCTGGGGCCCGGAACTGGGGTCACCCACTGGGCCACTGGGTCAGCAGCGCTGAGTCGGGGCCATGGCTGTCCAGACTTGCCTGGGCTTGTGAAGAGCTTCCCGGACGACTGGGCGCCCACACCTAGGGCCCAGCTCCAGGCCTTGAACCTAATTCCTCCCATAACAATGAACCCTCATTCCAACCCATTGCTCGAATTTTGGGCAGAAATCATCTCACATAACCTTTGGTGTGTTACATACAGTGTGTCAACTCATTAACTGTATTCCATCGAATCAAAGAAACTATCAGTTTAAAAATCTACCATGAGTTTGTGCCAGAAAAGGGACAAAAAAAAAAAAAAGTCAATTAAACTATGATATGTGAGCTATTAAAAGATACTTGTGAGAATCAATGAAATGCTATAATCCTTACCTATTGCATTATTACAAACGAGGAAACTGAGGCACACTGACCTTAAATAGCTTGCCCAAAGTCAAACAGCAAGAAGTGACTCTTTCCTGCTACAGCCCCCTGTGCATTAGGCATATGCCATACCCAGATTCTGCCACACATTCTCTCACCTGATCCTCACAACCACCCTGAGCTAAGAAGTGTGGGGACCCTCTTTGTGCAGATGGGACTCAGCCAGGGTACATCAAGACTCTGAAGTCAGGCTACCTGGGGTCCGTGCCCACTTCCCACTTACTGGTTGTGTCTGCGGGCAGTCCTTCCACTACTGAAAATGAAGCTCATGAACATACTACCCTCATAGGACTGTGTGCAAAATGCATGAGTTGGTTGGTCTCTGTAAAGTGGTCAGGACAATGCCTGGCAGGTCACACTTTATAAGTATAAGCTCTAATGGGAAAACAGAAGAACAGAGAGGTTATGTGACCTACAGAAAGTCACACAGCTCTCGAGATGGGATTTGCCACCAGGTTAGTCTGTTTGATCACCAAGTTGTGTTCTTTCTGGTCTCCCAGAACCAGCAGCTGCTTTGGGGGTGGATGGCAGTGGGGCTTCTGTCCACTAGATTCCCCCCAGTCCACACATACCTTATCCCTGGCTCTCTACTTCTTGTCCCCTAGAAGTTCCATCTCGTACCAAGCCTCAACACTGTGAGTGGCAGTCAGGAGCTGCAGTGGATGGTGCAGCCTCACTTCCTGGGGCCCAGCAGCTACCCCAGGCCTCTGGGCTATCCTCACTTCAGTGCCCCACCGCCCAGACCAGGAGTCATCAGGGCCCTGGGGCCACCTCCAGGAGTACGGCGCCGACCCTGTGACCAGGTAAGGAGCAGAGGCCCTGTCCTGGTTCTGATGTCCATGGGGCTGCTAGGGTGCTGAGGACAAACTCCTGTTGGAAAGAAGAGCACCCAGAAAAAGGGAAGAAGGCAGGGGCATGGACAACTCGTGCCCAAGACAGAACATGATTGGAGTCCTTGGAGATGCTAAGGAGGTCATTTCTGGATCAAAGAAAGGTTCCTGGATGAGGAGGCATATTAGCCTAGAAGGATGTTAGAGGAAGACCCCCAGTGAGATGGATTGGCAAAGTGGCAGCATCAATGGGCTCACGTGTGGCAACAATTGTGAGGTTGTCCCAGGACCGGGTCATATTTGGCTCTGTTGTGCATAGGGATTTGCATAGACAGAGATGAAGGAAAGATAAAGTGCTCAGTGGAGGAAGTGGCAGGTGCAAGGAATGGAGGCAGAGGTGAGACTGTGCTCTCAGAAAGGTGAGTGGACAGTAGAGGGTTTTTACTCGCTGACATTGCGGAGGAATGGACTGATGCCTCCACAGCTCTGAACAGCTGGTGAGAGAATGGGAAGACGATTTTCTTCCTACTCTCTGGGTTGCAGGTTCCCCATCTCACAAAAACCCTCTGGGAAGTGTACTCTGATTCCCTAACTCTCCACCACCCCCATCCCATACCCCATTTTACAGCTAGGGAAACAAAAGCACAGAGGAGTAAAGTTACCTACCCAAGATCACACAACTAGTAAGTATGAGCCAAGAGGCCCAACTTGAAAGTCAGCACGTAATCATCCAGCCACATTGTTCACCAGGAGCTGTCAGGAGACTTGAAACAGCATGATCTGGTCCCTGGCCTCATGCTGCTCAAATAAAGTCCTGATGAAAATAAATAAATGAGAGATAGCGTAGTGGTTATGAATCGGGCTGCGAACCTTAAGGTCAGCGGTTCGAAAATACCAGCCGCTCCGCGGGAGAAAGATGAGGCTCTCTACTCCCGTAAAGATTTACACCCTCGGAAACCCTGTACAGGGTCGCTATGGGTCGGAACCGACTCGATGGCACATAACAACAACAACAACAACAAACCCCGAAAAATAAATCCACTGCCTTCGAGTCAATTCTGACGCATAGCCACCCTATATTGGGTTTCTGAGACTGTTAATCTTTACAGGAGCAGACAGCCTCATCTTTCTCATGGCTGGTGGGTTTGAACCACTGACCTTGTGGTTAGCAGTGTAACACCTAATCCACAGTGACAGCTGTCGTTGTTAAGTGCCGGCAAGTCGATTCCAACCCATAGCGACCCTGTATAGGGTTTCTGAGGAGCAGCTGGTGAGTTTGAACCGCAGACCTTGCAGTTCAAATGGATTTGCAGTCTGGCACATTAACCCACAATGCCACACCAGGGCTCCATTAATATATGTAGCCACTTTATATTAGGTGACAAAGACAACTAACTTTCATTATCTGCTGTCAAGAAGCCCTTACACCTAGGGCAGTGATTGGGAAGTGACAGTAAGGGTCTTTACCATTGGTAGCGTAGTGGTTATGAATCGGGCTGTGAACCTTAAGGTCAGCAGTTTGAAACTACCAGCTGTTCCGCAGGAGAAGATGAGGCTTTTTGCTCCCATAAAGATTTACAGCCTCAGAAACCCTGTACAGGGTTGCTATGAGTCGGAATCGACTCCACAGCACACAGCCACCAGCTACCAGCCACCATTGGCAGCATCGATGGACTCAAGCGTGACAACAGTAGTGAGGTTGGCCCAGGATCGGGCAGTGCTTCGTTCTGCTGTGCATAGGGTCGCTATGAGTCGGTACCGACTTGATGGCACCTAACAATAACAACAAACCATTGTACAGGCAAGTGTATTGATTTTCACACTTTAGGTCAGGACCATAGTAAGCATTACAAAAAGGGGGTAGGGTCACATGCTCAGCTGGACTGAACCACAGTGACAACAGAGCCCCTTAAATGAGAGCAGGGGTTGGGGGTGGAGGGGAAGACAGGGCTTTAAGGGTTAATGAATAAGAGACCCTCTTCCCAGCCAGGATTTCTGCCATTGCACTTCTCAAATAAAGACCTAACCAAAATAAATAAATGAGAGATGGGAGACTTTAGGGAATAATCAAGGAGTCCAAGTCAGTTTGAATCGCGACGTCAGTGGTTCAAGCTCACCAGCCGCTCTTTGGAAACTCTATACAGTTGCTATGTGTCGGAACGGACTCAATGGCACTTAACAACAACAGCAACAACAGTGTGGCGCTATAGGATAAGCATTGGACTGCTAACCACAAGGTCGGTGGTTCAAACCCACCAGCTGCTCCTCGGAAACCCTGTATCGGATTCCTGTGAGAGCCCCAGAGGCAGGCAAGACAGGAGGAACTCCTTGCTGGTCTCTAGCCTGTCCTGAAGGTAGCTCTTTAATCCCGGGGACTCCCAGGTCTCAGGCCTGGGGCTGAGTGAGCCCTTTGTGGGGATTTGCTCTCCATCAGCTGGCCAGTGGCCATTAGAGATTATGATCAAGTGCCCTGAAGTAGGTAGGTTCTAACTCAGCAACCCTGTATAGGGTTTCTGAGGAGCAGCTGGTGGTAGCTGGTTGTTGTTAAGTACTGTCGAATCAGTTCCAACTCATAGTGACCTTATATAGGGTTTCTGAAGAGCAGCTGGTGAGCTTGAAGTGCCAACCTTATGTTTCAAACTGACTTTGCAGTCTAGCACGTTAACCCGAAGTGTCATACCAGGAGTCCTAGCTGAGTCTTAGCATCAACTCTTAGTGACCATATATAGGGTTTCCGAGGAGTGGCTAGTGAGTTTGAAACTCTGATCTCATGGTTCAAACTGAAGTTGCAGTCCAGTGCTTGGTGCCACACCAGTAGGCGCCTAATAAATGACAACTTATTCTGCAGTATACTCACTAACCCTAATTCCTGCTCTAGGATCTTAATCAATAATTCATCTTCCCTGCGTTTCAGGACCTCACATGGAAGGTGGGGCTAAGAGTCTTGTGAAGCGCTTAGCTGGCGGATACTTATTGCTGTTGTGTGTCCTGCAGTTGATTCCGACTCTTAGGGATCCTATTGTACATGGCAGGGTAGAACTGCTCCCTAGGATTCCTTCCCTAAGCTGTAAATCTTAAAGGAGCACTTTTCTCCCTTAGAGTGGCTGGGTGGGTTCAAACTGCTGACCTTTGAGTTAACAGCCAAGCTCGTTAACAACTACTCCCCTTTATTGCAGTCAGTTGATTCCAAGTCATAGCGACTTAGTTGCACAGATAGAACTACCCTATGATTTCTAAGGCTGTAAATTTGTACAGAAGCGGACGATCACCTCAGAAACAGCTTTCTCACTCAGAGCCAGCTGATGGGTTTGATCTGCCGACCTTTCAATTAGTAGTCCAATGCTTAACCACTATACCATGAGGTTACCTCTTCTTTAGCATATTGTACCAAAAACCAACCAAACTCCCTGCCATCGAGTCGATTCTGACTCATAGCAACCGTAAAGACAGAGTAGAACTGCCCCACAAGGTTTCCAGGATTGTACACATTTAGCAGAGCCGACAGCCTCATCTTACTCTCACTATATGCTGCCTTCACCCAGTCCATTCCAATGCAGACTGACTCCAAGGCTGTGACTCTTTATGGGAGCAGAAAAACCTCATCTTTCTTCCAAAGAACTGCAACCTATGGTTAGCAGTTCAGTGCTTATCCTGCAGTACCACCAGGGCTTGCTATGTTGTTGTATGCCATCAAGTCGGTTCTGATTCACAGCCATCCTGTATAGGATTTCTGAGTGGCTGGTGGGTTTAAAGTTAGGAGTCCAGTGCTTATCCTACAGTACCATACCAGGACTCCTGGGCTCCTATGGTGTTTTTGATAAGGGTCATCAAGTTGGCTCCGACTCTTAGTGACCGTATATAGGGTTTCTGAGGAGTGGCTAGTGAGTTTGAACCTCTGATCTCATAGTTCAAACTGAAGTTGCAGTCCAGTGCTTGGTGCCACACCAGTTGTTGTTGTTGTTGTTAAGTGCCGTCGAGTCGGTTCCGACCCATAGCAACCCTGTACAGGGTTTCTGAGGGTGTAAATCTTTACGGGAGTAGAAAGCCTGATCTTTCTCCCGCGGAGCAGCTGGTAGTTTCGAACTGCTGACCTTAAGGTTCGCAGCCCGCCACTACGCTACCAGAGGCGCCTAATAAATGACAACTTATTCTGCAGTATACTCACTAACCCTTCCGAGTTTTCTCAGTCCCATGGGGAAAAGGTGACTTGGTCATCAAGAGATGAAAAGGATAAAGGTCCTACATAAAGGGGCAGTGAGGGGGGAAGGCTGGTCTCAGGTCTCAAGGGAGGAAAGGTCACTTCTGGCTGAGAGATTAGAGAAGATTCTTGGAGGCGGAGATATTTTAGCCGAGTCCTGGACAGTGAGGAGATTTACTGGTTGTAGAAGGGGCAGATACTTGGTGAAAGGACTCATAGGAGAAAAAGGTGGGGTGTCTTGAAGAAATCTAGCTGACTCAGGATCCCTGGAGTGTAAGTGTGGGAAATAGGGAAGTAGATTTTAGGGACTCCTGGTGTGGCGCTGTAGGGTCAGCACTGGTTTGCGAACCACAAGGTCCCAATTCAAACCCACCAGCTGCTCCTCGGAAACCCTATACAGGGTCGGTATGAGTAGGAACCGACTCAACAGCAGTTTAACAATAGTCTCTAAACTGTGGCTGCCCACCAGGGGTCTGCCCCTGGGTCACTGTAGGGGCTGAGTAGCAGGGTTGCCTCACCTTGGACCCTCCACCCCCTAGATCAGCCCTGAGGAGGAGGAGCGCCGCCGAGTGAGACGCGAGCGGAACAAGCTCGCCGCCGCCAAGTGCAGAAACCGGAGGAAGGAACTGACCGACTTCCTGCAAGCTGTGAGCCCCGGCCCCACCAAACCTTAGGGGGTCCCCATGGGGGATCAGGGGAGCCTTAACTGATTCCCTAATGGGGTGGGGGGAAGGAATAAAGGATGAAGAAAAATTGATTAAAAATGAATTGCAGCGCATCTGTGTAACCAAGGCAAATCACTTGTTCTCCCTGTCCCTCCTGATTGCAAACGAAAGGCTGGACTTGGAGCAGAGTTCATGGGAACTAGCTCCTTATAAAATGCCTCCAGGCCTGATGGGAGTCGTGCCCATTTTCTCCAAGGGGCTCATGGGAGTTGTAGTCCACCTTTAAATGGGTACTCCCAATTTACCACCCCCACCCCCGTCCCCACCCCTAGGCTGCAGGGTATTCAGCCCTCCTCCCTCATTTTCCTGACTGCTCTCCATTTCCTTTAAAGGAGACCGACAAACTGGAAGATGAGAAGTCGGGGCTGCAGCGAGAGATTGAGGAGCTACAGAAGCAGAAGGAACGCCTGGAGCTCGTGCTGGAAGCCCACCGCCCCATCTGCAAAATCCCTGAACAGGCCGAGGAGAGCAGCCCTGAGGACCCAAGGGGTACAGACAGTCCGCCAGTCTCCTCCCACCCAGTGCCTTGTATCTCCCTGTCCCCGGGGACTGTGCTTGAACCCGAGGCACTGCATACCCCCACACTCATGACCACGCCCTCTCTGACCCCATTCACGCCGAGCCTGGTCTTCACCTACCCCAGCACTCCTGAGCCCTGTTCATCTGCTCATCGCAGGAGTAGCAGTAGCAGCGGGGACCCTTCCTCTGACCCACTTGGCTCCCCCACCCTCCTTGCTTTGTGAGGTGTTCCAACCCCCTTAGCAGGTGTCATTGTAACCACCACCCCTTCCCTCATTGGTCCAGCTGGCCTGGACCATAGTCCATTCCCAACCTCAGGAGGTTCTTCTCCATCCCTCCAGATGAGACTGAATATATCTTGCTTCACGGTGGAGCCAGCTTGGGACCACCAAAGCTGCCCATTTTCTCTAGAGCTGGTTCCTCTTGCACAACTTGCACTACATGAGACAAAGCATTTCCTGCTTGTGCCAGCGCCCTTTTGGAAGCCTTAAAGGACTTTGTAGAGCCTTTGAGGCCTCCAGGAGCCCTAACTTCTTCTAGATCTACCCCCACAGTCTCCTATCAGCCTCTTCCACATTCTCCCTGATAGAAGGGGGCATTCCACCAGTCTAAAACACTAACTCACCCAGCCCAAGTGCCAGCAGCACAGCTGGCCCCTCCAAAATGGCACAGCCTAGGAGGGTATCATAGGCATCTGTGAAGAGCTGACCTGCAGCCCCCAGCTCGGAGAGGCCTTAAACGCCAGGGAATCCAAGCCCACACAGCTAGGGCAGCTGCTATTTATTTTCCTAAAGAGAATATTTTTGTAGAAACCTGTCAGATGGAATAAAAAGTCTTGAAGCTCTGGTCTGGGATTTACACTGGATTCCAAAGCTAAAGGGGGAACTGGGAGCAGGAAGCCTTAGGTTCCAATCTCAGATCCACCCACTCACTGTGAGTGACCTTGGACAAATTCTTTGTTATCTCTCATCTCCTGGACTGAGAGGTGGGAGTGCTCAGGGGTGCAAGGGAAGAGGATTACTGGTCTCCTCTCCTCCCTCCCCCTCCCAAGGGTTGCCAGAGGGGCCCTGGCAAACCCCCTTCTCAGCTCCCAACACCTGCTTCCTGCCCCATTGTCTTGGGCAGGAAAAGCCGGGAAGTCACTTCAGGGTCTGGATTACGGCCTGTCCCTTAGGCCCCCCCACCCTCCCCAGGGCAGTCAGTGATCTACCAAAGGTTCCCGTCCCACCCCAGCCTTGAGGAAAAGAGGGAGCATCTCTCCAGAAAATAGGACTCCCCGCTCTCGCCCTAATCCCAGTGAGCCCCAAACACACACTGCCCAGGCCGCGAGCTCCTCTTCAGTCCTAATTTATTAGCCCCACCCAGCCCCCAGGTAGTCCCTTTGCTCCAATCTGCAATCCCCCTGCCACGCCACAGGTGAGGGTGAGAGGCAGTCTTCAGTGTCAGAGTTTTTCAATCCAAGACGGTTGCCCCTCAGGCGTAGGGGCGGCGTCCAGGTCCCGAGGTCCACCGCAATCCCGGCGCTCGGGGCGTAATCCGGACTGGCGCCGCTGCCTAGAAAGCAGTGCCCTCAATCTTCAGGGGAGCAGGCTAGGGGCAACTGATCTGGGCTGCCCACGCTGCCAGTGCTAGAGCTTCCATCACCCAGATCGCGGGGGCCACAGGGAGGCAGGGCGAGCTCGGGGGTCGGCCCGGGGCCGGAGCTCCCAGAACCGCTGGAGCCGCCGCGAGGACCCCACTCCTCGCCTAGCGCCAAGCAGAGCTCCTTAAGTGCCAGGTTCTCCCGCAGTAGCTCCTCTTGGCGACCCTCCAGCTCGGCCAGCTTCTGCCAGCAACCACCCAAGTCCTCGCGAACAGCCCGGGACGCCTGGGTCCCGAAGAGCTGCCACTGGCGGGCGGCGCGCCGCCCGCGCTGGCGTTCCGAGTCCAGGAAGCAGCAGAGGTCGCGTAGCTCGCGGTTCTCAGCTTGCAGGCGCCGGTTGAGCTGCTTGAGCTCGCGGATCTCGCCTAGGTGGCCCTGCAGCTGCCGATTCACCTCCTGCATAAGGCGGCCGCGCTGTACCAGCGCCGCCAGGCGCGCTGCCTCCTCTCGCCGCAGGCGCCGCACCAGCTCCTCCTTGCCCAGAGCCGCCATCTCCTCATCCGTCAGCTCCTCCAAGCCGCCCGCCTCGGCCTCCATGGCTGCTTAGGTCGCTGGAGCATCGCCCACCGCCGCCGCCTAGAAGCCCCACGTCGGCCAGGCGCGGGTCGGGCTCCGGCTCCAGTTTGCGGGCTGCAGGCAGTGGCTAAGCTAGCGGAGGCTGCAGCTGCCCACCCCGGGTGGGCACGCGGCGGGGCGAGCGCCAGGGCGGGGCCGCGTGACGTTGTGTGAGGATAGCCAATCCGGGGAAGTCTTCCCGGAAAGGGGCGGGGCCGAACGCTCATCTCTCTTCCCAGTCCCAGACCGCGGTGGCTCTGACTCCTTCCAGACGCTAAATCCCCGCATCCCTGTCCTCTGCGCCAGTCTCAATCCGAAGATACCTTTCAGTTTTGGACCCCCTCAAGCTCGAACCTAGGCCTCTTGCTTCCTTCTTGAGAACCAAGACTCAGGTGTCGACCCCTGACTCTCTTGCCCACTGCGAGACTAAACGCAAACCGATAGCCTCCCTCTCCCATCTAGCTAGTGCGAACTAGGCGCCCTGAGCATCGCTCCCAGCTCCTCGGAACTCTGAGTCTAAACGTCCTGGCTCCTCATCAATTTACCCTCCCTCCCACGGAGTGTTTCTTGCCCGGGGGAGGGGCATCCATGGGATTCGTTTGTTCAATAAACGTTTATTGTGTGCCAGGCCCATTCAGAAATAAATTTGACCAAGAGCCTGTCCTCAATTTGACAAGCAGGTTGTATTCATCAAGAAGCAAATGTGTGTGGCGGGGGTGGGAAGTGTATGTGGGGGGG